AAAATGCCCAAAAAATTTTCTGTAGAGATTAAGGAAACCCTGCATCTTCCGTGGAGGAAGGCTGCACTGGCGTCCAGGTGTCAGTCAGTGAAGTCACAGTGCTAGGGGACCCAAGTCAGGATCCCAGGAAAGAGTTCCTTTTTCCAGCTGGTGAGGCAATGTAAGGCGCAGACATCTGTATCCTGAACAGAGGCCCGTTTCTTTCAGGAAATGCTGAAACCTGGAGGCAGGAACCGATGCAGAGGCCAAGGAGAAAGGGGCTTTTTTCTTTCTAGGACATCAGCTGAGTAGGAAGGTCAGCTGGGTGCTTTCTCTGCATCTCTGACCCAGCAGGTTTTCATCCCAGCATCTAGCTCCTAAGGCTTTATTGGTGAAATCAAACATTTGGGATTTTGTTTATGAAACAAGAATTCAACTCTCTTTGCTTCTGTTTCTTCAAATGTAAAATAGAAAAAAAAAAACTATTAACATTTATTTAACCATAAGACTATTGTGAGAAGTAAATGGCTTTATCTAAACCTTCCCCCAACTTTTTTGGTTTTTCCAGTACACAGGGTTTCTCTGTGTAGCCCTGGCTGTCCTGGAACTCTATCTGTAGACCAGGATGGCTTCAAACTCACAGAGATCCATCTACCTCTGCCTCTCAAGTGCTAAAACCCTTAAAATTCATGGTTGGACCTAAGTACAGTTGTCCCTTGTATCCAAGGACATCCTAAGAATACCAAAGTCCATACACCCAAGTCATTTATGTAAAATGGAATAGTGTTCTCATATAACTCACACACTCCTTACATGAACTTTATTTATTTATTTATTTATTTATTTATTTATTTATTCATTCATTCATTCATTCATTCATTCATAGTTGGAGATCAAACTTCCTGGTTTTTCTTTTTCACTTATGTGAATTTCTCTGTGTGTACGCTCACAGGTGTGCAGGGACCTGAGATGACCAGTAGAGGGTGTTTGATTCCCTGGAGCTGGAATTACAGGTGCCAGTTAGCTTCCCCCGTCCCCACCCCCATTTAGGTGACTGGAACTGAACTCAGATCTTCTGCCAGAGCAGTATGCACTCTTTAAACGCTGAGCCATCTCTCCCGCCTTGAACTTTTGTTTTCCTTTATTGTTAATAGATTTTAAACACTGGAGTTTAACAGGAGAAAGGACACCCCAGAGGGGTTTGGTATGGCTTCATATCAGAGTGATATCCTATACTTCAAACCAGCACTAGATTGCTTAGTCCTCATGCAATAAAGATGCTATTTAAATCATTGTCACACTGGATTGTTTAGGCAGTAATGATGAGAAGTCTATGTCCAGGACACATGAAGAGCATTCCTGGCATTTTTCTACTCAAAACTGAAAATTGATCTATAGATGTAGAACTCAAGTCGCTGCTCCATGACAGCAAGCTACTTTTTTTTTTTTTTTTTTTTTTTAAAGACAGGTTCTCACTGCTCTGGCTGTCCTTAAATTCACCATGTAGACTAGGCTGGCCTCAAACTCACAGAGATCCACCTGCCCTTTCCTCTGTCACTCTAGTAAAGACCTGTGCCACCATACCTGGCACAAGCTGCTACTGTAAGGGGCAAGGCCTAGGAGAACCCAAGCTTGGCAGTTCAGGCTGTCACAGAAGCTGCCCACTGCGCACACGTGCTAGATGACCACCTGCCTCCAGGACCAAGGACGTTCTGGTCCCCACGTTGCAGCTGGGGCTAAGCCACAGACTGTTCCATTGGTGTCTGCCTTTGCTGCTTCCTGTCATGGTGCTGTGTACCTACAGGGGATGGGAGAAGAAATATCGACAGGAAACACCCCTTATTTGACGGTTGGTATCTACAGGGATCGCCCCAACAGAGCACAGGTTACCCAGGCCTTCTCATCTTGCTTCACTTGGAAAGTCTGTGCCAAGCACATGGCTGAGGAATGACCAGGAACTTCAGAGCTCTACATGTTACAACCCAGATACCAGTAGGGCTGGAGCTATTTAATAAATACCAGCTTCAGCGTTCTTTGGGGACAGCTGCCTGGCTCAGGTCCATGAGCCTGGTGGTCATGGTGTCTGGGGTCCATGCCTTAAGGAGCATGGGTGAGTTTTCCTATAGCCTGTCCCTGTGATGAAATCTAGGATGACTGGCCTCCCTCCCTCCCTCCCTCCCACCCCCATCTGCTCCACCAGCATACTTTGCTCATCTGGTCTCTGACTATGGCTCCTTGCTCCTCCCTTCAACCCATCTTGACCTCTATTTGTATAAATTCATCCTCTCCAAAATCTCTCTACCCTTTTTTTCTCTCCTTCCTTCCTTCCTTCCTTCCTTTCTTCCTTCCTTCCTTCCTCCCTTCCTTCCTCCTTTTCTTCCTCCCTGTGACAGGGTTTCTCTGTGTAGCCTTGCCTGTCCAGAAACTTGCTCTGTAGAGCAGGTTGGCCTCAAATTCAGAGATCTTCCTGCCTCTGCCTCCCGAGGGCTGGGATTAAACACATCAGAAAGGCTTTTCTATCTGACGCCCTTGGGCTGTCTTGAGGTCTGGAGGATGTTGTCTATTTCTGGAGGGGTCCCAGTGAACAATGATTTACACACATGAGAAGACTTCGGGATTTTGTTAAAAGAGGAATAAGCATCCCAGAGCAGCTGTGACAGGGCCCCGTCTCCTCTGACTCCGGTTCTGTTTGGGGGAGCATCAGCTTCATCTTTCTGGATCAAGCTGGATGGCTAGAGCATTCCAGCTGTTGGGAAAGGGGAGGTGCGGGCCCACTTCCTTTTGTCTTAAATCTGTGCATATCACTTTGCACACAGCCAGTTTGCAATGTATAATTAAGCCACATTGCAAGGGAATCTGAGAAGTGGGGTTTCTAGCCTTGGTAGGGGAGTTGCAGGTCGTATAACCAAGGAAGCAGAGTAGGATGATATTGGGCATGATGGTGACACCAGCTCTTCTGTTCTCCAGTTTGTGACCACATCCTGGTACACCCTCATTCCGGATTCCTTTCCCAGCAGTGCTTACTGCTTTATACACAGTGGCTCCCAAGAGACTGCCAACTGACCCCCTTGCTTCCAGCCTCGCTTCTGATCGGACGGCTTCAGTGTTTAGAAGTTTTTCAATGGCTCCCGAAACCTATAGTAATGCCTCTCCCTCCCCTGCCAGGACTGAACCCAAGAGCCTCAAACATGGAAGTGCTTGCTCTATCCCTCAGCTCCATTTCCAGCTGAGCAGTGGAATTAAAAACATTTTAAAATTGCATTCATTCGTCCATTCAGTGTGTGCGGTGCTCGTGTGGAGGATAGCTTGCTGGCTGGAGGACAACTTGCCAGTCAGTGGTCAACTTGCCGGAACTGGTTCGCATCTTCCACCATGTGGGTCCTGAGAATCACACTCAGGTCATCAGACTTGGCAGCAAGTGCCTTTACCCGCTGAGCCCCCAGCAGTACGATTTTAAGAGTTGAGTTTAGCTAAAGCGTATATTTTTCTGAAAGGAGTTTGAATTTTTAAAAAACATTTATTTATTTATTATTTATACAGCATTCTGCCTGCACACCAGATCTCGCTATAGATAGTTATGAGCCACCATGTGGTTGCTGGGAATTGAACTCAGGACCTTTGGAGGAACAGCAAGTTTGGATTTTTAACATAGTCTGTGAGACAGCCCCCTCAAGTTTAGGCTCAAGTCCAAATCTCTAATATCAAAAGACAATAAGCAAGACCATATGTCTTCCTCTCTCTCAAATCTCCTCTCCCATGGGCTGAAACTGAAGTCATCTGAAATCCTATCACTGTGGGCCATGAGCCTTTATTCATGCCGTGCCTTCAACCCCACTGCTCTCTCTAGGACACCCTGACTGAGTCCTTAGAGCTCAGCTCAAAACCTCTTCTTCGAGGTTTCTCTGACCTCCTCTGGCTCTGAAGGTCGCTATAGCACTCCACACCTACTCTAGCACTGGGAAGTCTGAAGCTTTAAGAGGCTGGGCCCTTCGCTCACCCGGGGGCATGCTGTCACTAGAAGGAAGGTATCTCTCCTGGAATCCAGAGCAGCTGTCACAAGCTCACTGTTCAAAAACCCACCTCACCCTGCTCTTGTTGTTTCCTATATCCAGCTGTGATCCCTTCCTCCTCTAGACAGGCTCCTGCCATCTGTCATAGGCCTCCCCAGACGAAACCACACTGATTATATTCCAAAACTGCGGACTAAAAAAATACCCTCTCTGTAAGTATCCTTCCTTGGGTGTTTTGTCATAGCAAAAAGAAATTATTAATATAAGCCTGCATTACAAATACCCAAGAATCAGACCGATTGAGAGGCAACATTTTAATTTATAAACAATAAGGACAGGCCGGAGCAGTGCTACTCAAAGCATGGTTGTGACCTGACCATGTTTGCATCCCCTGGCCCAGTTAGACACACCAACTCAAGCCTCGTTTCAGACCTGCTGCATAACAAGTTCCCAGGGGCTGGATACACATTAACCTTTGCAAAGCAAGGAGCTAACATTTATTAATGTAGGTGTTTGCTCTTACATTGTGTTTTGACATCGAAATAAATCTTCTTAGAGCCTTTTTTTTTTCTTTTTTTTTTTTAGCTCATCTGTTATGTCATTCTTTCCTTGTCTGAGCATCATCCATGTGTGGGACTTTGGGCATCTCTCTAACCAATCACACTGGGGAGAGAAGTTTGCTGCAGGTTTCTGAAGGCAATCTTTCTGGGTTAGCATCTGGATTCCAAAACTTCCACAAGCCATTTCTCCTGAAGACCCTCAGAAGCAGGTTGTATGACCACTTCCATGTGGAGGGTGATGAAGTGTCCACTCCCCAGTGACACTTTGTGACTCACCCAAGGGGTCAAGCAAAGAAACCTTCCGCCAAAATGGGAATTCTTGCTTTTGTGTTCTCAGTGTTCAGATCACCAGTTTCGACAGACTTCTTTTTATATAAAGAAAAAAAATATGTATATATATATATATATATATATATCTTTTTTTTTTTTTTTTGCATGAAACTTTCTTAGCTATGACTATGAGCCTTTCAGGGGCAGACCCCAGGAGATATGGAAGCTTAGGCGGAAAGAACTGTCCCTGGGAGTGATGTCATTCCTCTCCTGGCTGGCTGCCACTACTGTAGCCCAGGCTGGACTTGAGTGCAGCCAGGAGCCAGGAAGTTCTCAGAGCAGTACCTCCTCCCAGAGGCTCTGTGCATCCAGCAATGGGTGAACAATGCTGTCTTCCACAGTGAATCATTCCCAGCCAGGGGCTGGCCAATTCATTTGCTTTTTTCGTGAGCAGGGAACAGCTGAAATGACTGGACTCTGCCAACACGCCCCCTGTTTAACCGTTGCATTGGGTTTTCTGCTTACTTCCATAGAGGTGATTGGAGCCCCTGGAGTATTCAGGAGTGTCACGCCTTGGTGTTGACATCTTTGTCCTACCTTGCCTGAAATTAGAATCCTCTCCCGTTCTCTCTAGACATGCATATTCAGTAAGACATACTTGTATACATACTTGATTAAAAACAAAAAGACAGTGCACTTTAAAACTCCATGTAAAAAGTATTGCTTTTTTCTACTGTGCAAGTGTGCCCTTACCCCAACCTGCTTGCTACACAGGACTGCAAAGACGGAGTCATGAGGAATTCAAGGCTGAAGATGTTTTGAATTTCTGGCCGATCCTACGGGCAGCCTGCACTCTCCATCTTGCACCCAACTCTGAAGACCATGCAGCTTGGTGGGGTTTGGCCTAAGGCAAAAAACTATCAAGCATCCTAATGAGCAGAATTATATGACGGGAATGTAGTGTGCATACTTGACATAGCTTCTCCACTTGAATGGTGGCCCCCTGCCTGTGACCCCAACCTTCCCTAAAGGCCAGGGGGGAGTCGAGAAAAAGAACCTTTTTGTTCCTGGCTGCTGGCTCTTCAGCAGCTCCTACAGTCCCAGGGACCTGCCCTGTTCCGAGTGAGCTCGCAGGAGCTCTGCAAGCTCCACGGGGGCAGGTGAATTCAGAGCGATGGACAAGGCTGTGCGGCCAGCCTGCAGGGAAGAAAGAAAGAGAGAAATCATCTTATCTGCCTCCTGACCCACTGGGAAGAATGGGGGTCATGTCAGGAAGGATGCTTCCAATACCAGGTGACCCCGGAGGGGATGGGACTCAGACGACTTTGGGACCGTGAGAAATGGGATCATGAGACATGAGGCTTTCTTCCACAGAAGCAGCCCTCAGTCCAGGGAGGTCTGTGCCAGAAGGAGCAGAGAAGGGGTTTCCAGACCCTCAACACTTGAGAAAGTTGGAAAAGATAGGAAAGAAAATAACATTCCCCACACTAATACACAGATTTAAGTGAGCATTAACATTGTGGAAAAGCATTTTCCTTTATCTTTGCTTCTCTGCTAATCTATTGTTGGTTTTAAAGTAGAGAAACTGGGGCCCGCATCTGTCTGGAATCCCCTTTTATTGTAACTTACTCTGGTGTACCAGGAGATGTTTCCTTCATAACATGTGCCTTCTCATACACTGTTAAAACAGCCCAGAATATACTAGAAACTTTGAGTGTGTTAGAAGCTTGTTTCTACGCGCCCACAATCGTAACCTCGCTGACAAAGCACTTTCTCGTGGTGTGTGTGTCAGCATGTTCACGTGTCAGCCTTCGCACATGTGTGGAGGCCAGAGCTCAGCACGAGGTAACGCTCCCCAGATGCTGTCTACCACGTTCATGTTGAGACAGCGTCTCTCACTGGCCTGGAACTTGCCGCGTAAGCAAGGCTAGCTCTCCAGTGGGGCCCCTTACGAGCATGTGCTACAATGTCCGGATGTTTTTACAACTGTGGGTTCTGGGGATTGAACTCAGGTCCTCATGTCTACACTGCAAGCACTTTACCAGCTGAGCTATCTGTGAGCACCCTCCCACTGTTAACTGTCTCCTTAGGACCAGAAGTGATACACGGTGATACCCTCCCAGAACTTATACACGGTGACAATTCCCGGCTTGAAGTCACTTCCCTCCACTCCCTCTGTTCTGTGCACAGAGCTTGAGTCCTGCAGTCTAAACGTGGGGGCGTGGGGACTGGAGAGATGGCTCAGGGGTTAAGAGCACTGACTGCTCTTCCAGAGGACCCGGGTTCAATTCCCAGCACCCACATGGCAGCTCACATCTGTCTTTAACCTCAAGATCTGACAGCCGTACACAGACATTCATGCAGGCGAAACACCAATGCACAAAAAAAAAAAAAAAAAATTCCTGGAGAAGGAGAAGAAGCTAGACCTGTGGAGTGCTCCTTGGGGGGGGGGGCGCTGCACAGAGATGGAGGGAGAAAGCTCACATTCCTGTGTGTTGAAGGGTGAGCTCAGAGGGCACAGCCAGTCTCTCATGAATGGGCATAATCCTACAGCCAGCATTTTAAAAGCTAAATGGCTTTGAAAACTATACTTCCTTAGTGACCGACTCAGAGGTAAAAGGCAGCCTGGGGCCGTCTACGATGCTTACTGTTCATTTGCCCTCACTGTAACTGTATATATTCGGAATTAACTTCCTGAAATACGGCACATCTTTCAGAGGAACAGGCGGAACTCGTTAACGCTGTCAAGCTCTTTGGGCTTCTCCCTTGGCAGCAGGATGGAACCCAAGCACCACTGAAGTGCCACAGCCATGCAAAGCTCTGCAGCAGCAGAGAAAGATCCGAGGGTGGGAGGGCCCCCCAGGGAGGAGAACACTGCTGTTGTTCTGAGGCAGGCTGGCTAGAAAGCAGTTGAGGTCAAGGATGCCCCTGGTCTCCTAATCTTCCTGCTTCCATCTTTAGAGCACTGAGATCACCGGCCTCTCTCTGTATACCACTACACAATTTAGTGTGCTCTTAGGGGATCAAACAAGGTGGCCTCTGACACGCTAGGTCCACTCTCTACCAACTGAGTGACATCCTCCTCTTCTTGCTTTTTTTTTTCATTGTGTGTGTGTGTGTGTGTGTGTGTGTGTGTGTGTGTAGGTACGTGCATGGGGGTGTCCCTGGAGCTTTGAGGTATTGGGAGCCACTTGATATGGGTGCTAGGAGCTGAACTCAGATCCCTTGCAAGAGCAGTGTGTATTCTTAGCCCTGGAGCCATCTCTCCAGCTCTTGCTTCCTTCTGAAACAGTGACTTGCTATGTATCCCAGGTTAGCCTTCAATCTCCTCGGCCACCCTCCCTGCCCTTTCCTGTTGAGGCTGGAGTCTTTGAGATCGCTTGAGCAGTTCTGGTCTCTGTAAGCCCAAGAACTCAGGCTGGCCTGGTCCTGGCACAGGCAGGCTGGGCTGCCTGCCCTTGCTCATCCCGGAGCATTGTTGAAAACTGGGCGGCGAAGGCAGAGGTGTTTGGTTCAAGTTGATAAAGGAGCCAAATGATCCTAAGGAGTCTTTTCTTGACTGAGCAAACTTGGAACAAGGCACAAGTTTTAAAGCACAAGGAGTCCTGGGGGAGGGGGCTGTCCCACCGTGTGCTCCCAGCTGGCCTTTGCCATCCAGAGCTTTCTGTAAACAGGTTGTGTGATGACTGTTACCATAGGAAAGCGCCACAGGGCCGGTCCCAGAGGCTGTGTAATTTCTGACAGAGCCCATCTGGAGGTGACAGTCTCCATCTGTGGGCTTCTCAGCCGAAGACACGGAGGATGGGAAGTAGGGAGAAACAGACCACCTAGGAAGGGAGAGTGTCCCTTACAAGGAAATGCCTCCGGCAGAGTCTGGCGAAGGAAGGCTCATGGGTTAGCTGGGTCTAGTGAGCCCTACTCAACAGCTCTGCAGGCTGGACACAAACCTGACTGAGCTGAAGAGTGGAGGGTTTGCACAGTGTGTGTGTGTGTGTGTGTGTGTGTGTGTGTGTGTGTGTGTGTGTG